TGTCATCTACTTCTTGTCCCGCCTTCAATCTTTCCCAGCATAAGGGTCTTTTCCAATGAGTCAGTTCTTCGCATCAGGTGGCCAGAATATTGGAGTTTCAGCTTCAGCATCAGTCCTTCCAATGAACACCCAGGACTGATCTTCTTTAGGATGGACTGGTTGGATCTCCTTGCAGTTCAAGGGACTCTCAAGAGTCTTCTCCAACAACACAGTTCAAAAGCATCAATTCTTCAGCACTCAGCTTTCTTTATAGTCCAACTCTCACATCCATACATGACTCCTGGAGAAACCATAGCTATGACTAGACAGACCTTTGCCAGCAAAGTAATGTTTCTGCTTTTTAACATGCTGTCTAGGTTTTTCATAACTTTTCTTCCAAGGAGCAAGCGTCTTTTAATTTCATGGCTGCAGTCACCATCTGCAGTGATTTTGGAGTTCAAAAAATAAAGTCTTTCATTGTTTCCATTGCTTCCCCATCTATCTGCTTTGAAGTGATGGGACCAGATGCCATGATTTTGGTTTTCTGAATGTTGAGTTTTAATCCAACTTTTTCACTCTCTTTCACTTTCATCAAGAGGCTCTTCAGTTCTTCTTTGCTTTCTGCCTTAAGTGTGGAGTCACCTGCATATCTGAGGTTATTGATATTTCTATGGCAATCTTGACTCTAGTTTGTGCTTCATCCAGTCCAGCATTTCTCATGTTGTACTCTGCATATAAGTTAAATAAGCAGGGTGACAATATACAGCCTTGACGTACTCCTTTCCTTATTTGGAACCAGTCTATTGTTCCATGTCCAGTTCTAACTGTTGCTTCCTGACCTGCATACAGATTTCTCTGGAGGCAGGTCAGGTGGTATGGTATTCCCATCTCTTGAAGAATCTTCCACAGTTTGTTGTGATCCTCACAGTCAAGAATTAGTAAGAATGTAAAAGAGTAAATAAATATTTGATTATGAGAGAGTATTGTTTTTTGTGAATTTAGATTCATCACCAATCACAAGTCCATAACAGCATAATTCAAAATGTACTTTAGGATAAAGAAAATTATCAGTCTGTGTCTGTGTGGAGAGAAAATAGTGTGACTTAAAGCTGCCCCATTCCAAACTTGCATCCAGTCCAGCTTCTCCAACTATTTAGGATTTATTGTTTAAAAACAATACTTTATTATAAAAAATTAATACACATACAGTAAAGGATAGAAAGCATAAATAGTTTAATGAATTACAAAAAGTAAATACCTATAGAGTCACCATCCTGTTTAAGTAACTAAAGTTTCTTTCCCACACAACTGCCAAAGATGGCAGAGGGGCAGGTCTTGGTGTTTGATGGCTGAGACCATCTCCTGGCCTACCTGGCAGCCATCCTGGCCAAGAAGGTGCTTCTGGGCCAGAAGATGGTATTCCTGCACTGCTGGGAAATCAATATTTCCTGGCAGTTTCTACAGAAACAAGTTGAAGTGCCTGGCCTTTCTCCGCAAGCAGATAAACACCAACCCCTCCCAAATCCAAACCCCCAGCTGCATCTTCTAGCTGATGGTGTGAAACATGGTACCCCCAAGACCAGGCAAGGCCAGGCCACTCTGGACCACCTCAAGGTACTTGATGGGATCCCACCCCCCCCCATGATATGAAAAAGTGGACAGTGATCCCTGCCATCCTCAAGGTGACATCTTGACGTCTGTGTGCAAGTTTTACTGTCTAGGGCACCTGGCTCATGAGGCTGATTGGAAGTAGCAGGCAGTAGCAGCCACCCTGGAAGAGAAGAGAAAGAAGAAGAGCAACATCCACTAGTGGGGAGGGGGAGGGGAAAGCAGCTCATGAGGCTACAGAAGCAAACTGAAAAGAACAGAGAAGAAAACTGACCAGTTCACAGAGGTCCTCAAGACCCATGGATTCCTAGCCTGAGACCCATAAAATTGACCATTGAGTTTTCAAGAGAAAAGAAACAGAAGTTTGCCAGGACTCCAAACATATTCTTTCCAGATGACAAATCTCTTCTGAGCCATATCCTTCAAAATGATTTGCAAATAATGAAATCTACAACAGATGGAAGAAGGTAACTGGGGGCTGACCACAAGCAGGTGGACTCCAGATCAGTTGGAGAAGGTTGATGATGTTGAGTCCCAATTACCCCACCAACAACCAATCAGAAGAGTGTCCACCTGTTGATCTTGCATACAACAACTCTCTTAGCCGTTCTGCCTTTAAACATTTTTTTCCCTGAAAGCCAGTAGGGAGTTCAGGATCCAGGATTTGAGCATTAGCTACCCAAACTCCTTGCTAAGTGTCTGCAGTAAATGCTGGACTTTCCTTCACCACAATCCTACATCAGTAGATTGGCTTTACACACCTAGCAGATTCAAGCTGGGATTTATAGCAATCTGACATAGAGAAATAAGGCAAGAGGTAACAAAAAGGAGTAAGAAAGAAGGGATAAAGGAGAAGGACAGAACTCTGGAATGAGCTAGTAAGGGGAAAGATGTATTAGGGAGGTGAAAAAAAGAGAAGATACAGGAAAAAAGCAAATACAGCTGACCCATGAGCAAAGCTGGTTTGAACTGTGCTCATCTACTTATATCTGGGTTTTTTCCAATATTAAATCATACAGTACTACACAATTCATGAAGATCCCCTGGAGAAGGGATAGGCTACCCACTCCAGTATTCTTGCGTGGAGAATCCCCATGGACAAAGGAGCCTGACGGGGTCCACAGGGTCACAAAGAGTCGAACATGACCGAGATACTCAATACAGCACAGCACACAATTCAACTTGTTGAATCTGCAGATGCGGAACACGGACCCAGAGGGACTGCAGATATGAAGAAACTATGGGCACAAAATGATCAGACATAAGTTGTATGTGGACTTTAGACTGTTTGGAGGATTGGTGCCCACAATCTACACATTGTTCTAGGGTCAACTGTACATTAACCATCATTGACAACCACCATACAGAGCAGGTTTAGCCAAGAACAATCATAGGGCTTTCACTTCACCCTCCAGCCAGGATAGCTGTGGCTCAACCCAGAGCAAACCCCATGGCCTCAGCTGTGGCTGCAGAACTCATCTGAGGAGACACCAGACCACCTCTTCTCACAGTCTTGCCACCAGACCTATACACAGAACTCTGTGTGTGAGCAATGTGCACTCATCTACATATGCTGACCTTGGCAAATCTGCCAGAGATATTATCATGAAGGATTTGGCTTGGTGTTGTCACAATGTGAAGACAAAATGAGCACTGACAAGGAATGTTCAGCACCTGAATCATCTAATACACAGCTCATGTTCCTGGCAGCTTGCAGACCAAATACATAGACTGCATGTTCAATCACAGAACAATGCAACACTGACAACACTCTGGGAACAGAATTAAATTACAAATGAGAACCAGATTTGTCAAAGTTTGAATCTGAGTTTGGTACTACCTTCTCACACTAACATGGTAAAGAAAGATGGTAAAATCAAGTCTTCTTACAAGAGAGTGTGTTTGTGATGTTGACTAGGATTTTGATAAACCTGCAATCCATGATTCAACTGCCTTTGACTGTGAAGTCTGGCTTTTGAATTCCAGCCCATGACCTGGGACAGTGCCAAATCCAAGCTGACAAGGAGTAACTTTGCAGTGCATTACAGACTGGGGACATCCAGCTACAAGCTCTGGGGTGATTCTGTGGACAGAATTTGGAGGATCAATTTATCAGAAAGAAATTTATCTTGACGCTTGGGTGAATCTTGCTTGGGCACTAGGTACCAGCTGTACTTATTTCAGCATCGCAGATAATATCAATTGGAACCCACTGCTTCTGGTTCTGCAAAAATCAGCAATTCTAGTTCAGTTGGAATGGGCTACATTCAGACTAAGAGATCTTCAGTCATGTTAATGAAGTTAGAATCTGCCTTGAAATGAGAGGTTTGAAACTTTCAAGCCCATTCACCCTGACTCTCCTGAAGAGGGTTGGAAGGTTGAATCAATTTCCCTGGTCAATGATTTAATCTAACCTGTCTGTGTAAAACCCCAAATAGATATGCTTTAGAGAGCTTCAGGGTTGGTAAATATGTGGAGATTAGGAAGAAATACTGTGCTCAGAGAGGGCAAGGAAGCTCTGGGCCCTTCACCTGTACTGGCTCCAGCTGTCTCTTCCATCTGGCTGTTCCTGAGTCATACCCTTTTCTAATAAACTCATCATCTAGTAGGTAAAATGTTTCATTGAGTTCTCTGAGCCACTCTAGCAATTTGATTGAACCCAAGGAGGGATTCACCAGAACCTAAAGTCTACAGCCAGCCAGTCACAACACAGGTGACAATTTGGACTTGCAACCGGTGTCTGGAGTAGAAAATTCAAGGGACAGACTTGTAGGACTGAGCCCTTCACATGGGGATCTGATGCAGCCTCCTGGCAGGTTGGGTCAAAATGGAGTTGAATTGTAGGACATCCACTAGGTATCAGTGAATTTCTTGGTATTGTGAGGACCCTCCCCAAAACAGAGATGTTGCAAATAGTACCAAATCATTTTAGAGACACTGTCCCAACTGTCAAAACTGGAGGAATAAAGGAAATGGACAGCTGTGACCTCAATTTCTCTTTTTCCTACTGAAACTAAATAATAATCAGCTTTTCCTCTTTAAGATATTTATGCAGAGAGCTTGATTTGACTAACCAATAATAGAACAGTAGGAAAATTAAGAATTATTTTTCCCTGCTCCTCAGTCTCCCACAGGGGTTCCTTACAAAGAGAAGCAAATGTGTGTCTGGAATACTCTGAAACTAGAAGTTCCAAACTCCAAAAGTCTAAAGTGGAAATCGCCAGACTACAAAGCGTTATTGTAAAACATCGCTCCAGACTTCAGTTTGTAAAAGGAATTAAAAGAAACTGAGAGTCACAAAGTGCACAAACTGATGTAATTTATTCCCTTCCCCTCCTTGACAGCATTCCATTTTTCCCTTTCTGAGGGTCTGGGCTTAGGAGCTGGGTTCCACGACTCACACCACACAGCTCTCAGCGGTAGAACAGGAGCACAGCTGCCTCAGTGATCTCCCGGCTGGAGCTGTATCCCTCGTGAGTTCCGTATCCATTCCAGTCAAAGGAGGAGAAATCCCCACACTGCAAGGGACTGCTCTCTGGGAAGTATCCTCCTCCGCCGATGCAGTGCTGGGGGGCATGGAGAAGACGTTGTGAAGGGTTGGCTGTAAACACACCGGTGAGCTCTTAATGGTCGAATCCCCTGTAAGTTTGGTCTTCTTCCTACTTGCCTTGACACCTCCTCTGAAAAAACCTTTTCCTCCAGTAGACTCTGAAACCATGCTTCCCTGAATTCCTTTCTACCTTCCTTCATGCTTATTCTCAGACCTCTCAACCAGCCTTTTTCCTCAATGGCTCCCCCAAAGGCTATTTATCCCTCATGGTTCTGTCCACACCTCACTCTCCCAATGATGGTCTGTCTTCCCCCCATGACTTTTGCCAGAACCAGCATAATCGTATACTGTCAAGATATACTCCTAAGTCTGGAAGACCAGCTAGGTATTTTCTGGTCTTGAAACCCCATATGCAACTGCCCTGTGAATGTCTCCACCTACATATCACTAGATCTAAAACTCCACTTAAGCAAAACAAAACTAATTCGCTCTCTTGCTGCTCTTGAATCTATTTCTCTTCTTGTCACTCATCTTAATTGATAACACTCAGTCACCCAAAACAAAACCCTGAAGTCTGTTGCCTCCTTCACTTCCCATCCTCCACATTCATTTAATCATCAAGAACTGCTGATTTCACTGTCTATGCATCCACGCTTGCTCTTTCAAATTTATCAAGGCCACCCTGGCTCAGGTCCTCACTATTTCACATCTGCGCCTTTACACCTGCCTCATGATCTCACTGACTCTAATTTCCCTGCTCTTGAATCCATGTCCCCCTCCTTGCTAAACCAAAGTGATCAGGTCACTAATCTGGTCAAACTCCTCTCATGTGTCCCATCACCTATAACATAAACTCTATGTCCTGGACATAATGCAAAAGCCCTTCCTTGCCCTACTTCCTGCAAGTATTTCCAGCTCTTGATTCTACACCATGTGCATACCATGATACAATTTACACAACAGCTCACTGCCCCCTCAACACACCATGGTCTATCAAATCCCAGTGATTTTGAACATGTTAGTTACTCATGCTCAAAGGACACTACTCTGCCCCTTGCTGCCTATTGAACTCTACACACATCTTTTGAGATTCAGCAAAGATGTCACCTTCCTTCAGAATCAACTGTGTGCCATTAGCAGAGGTAGAAGCTTCTGTATTGTGTCCCCAGGGCCCCTTGTTTATGTTGCTATCTCAGAGGATACCATATAAGATTGCAATTGTGCATTTATATCTCTCTCCCACTCAGTCTGAGCTCCTTAAGATGACTCTGTCAGCTTTGCATCTCTAACAGCTGCACTTTGTAGGTCCTCTAGCATGTATTTTAAGGAATCAGTGCTTGCAAGGGTACATGCAAATGAGCATTAATGAGCAAGATAAGGCTCCTTGGAAGCCAGTGTAGGGAGAACACACTCCACCCTACTCCTAGGGCCCATACCTGCATCATCCTCTAAAGCATAATCTAGGGGCCCTTCCATGAAGTCACAGCTATTACACCTTGACTGAGAAATGGACAACTGGTAACTGAAGGGGCAAGTAAAGATGTCCTTGACTTCAGGGTCACGTTTCTCAGACTAACAGGTGTGGAATGAAAAGGTGCTGAGTGAGCATTCTTGTTCTTAGAGCTCTGACTCCCTCCTGCCCCCCAGCCGTAAAATGTCCTTCAGAGACAGTCTCCACTAACCAAACTATGGTGCTCTCTTCTCAATACTGGAAAAAAATAAAAACAAAAATTTTCTACATTGAATGTGTGAGAATATCATCACGATCTCGATATAAGGAAATACTTCTTAAACACAGCATCAAAGTATAAATCATACATGAGAATACAGATAAACTGGACTTCAATACAGGAAATTATATCCATTGGTCAAAGGTACAAACTTTCAGTTATAAAATAAGACCTGGGGATGTAAAGTATAGACTAGTGACTATAGTTAATAATACTGATTTCTACACTGAAAAGTTACTAAGAAAGTAGATATTGAAATTTTTTATCACAAGACAAGAGAATTTGCAACTACTTGTGGTGGTGGGTGTTGACTAGAGTTACTGTGATGATCATTTCAAAATACATAAAAATATAGAATCATTATGTTGTATACCTGAAGCTAATAAAACATTTTATGTCCATTGAATCTCAGTTTAAAAGCAATAGTAACAATTTTAAAAGTATGTCCACAAAATACCAGCAAAAGAATAAAATGCAAGCCAAGGAGATATACATTAGAACATCCCAAACAAGTGTTCCCATGCACATACACACACACACACACACACACACACATACATGCATGCATGCACGCACGCACACACACACACACACACATGCACACACATGTGCACATGCACCAGGGATCGTCCCAAAACTCACGAATTCAGTGTTGCAGCCAGTGACTCTCATCCCAGCACACAGGGCATTGGCTGCTCCCTCATTGTTAAACACCCTGAACTGGACAAACCCTGCAACAAATTCTTCTGGAAAAGAAGAGGCAGAGAAAGGCCTAAGTATTCAAAAGATGAACTGGAAACAATTTCCCTTTGACCAGCCCAGGGATTCCCTAAATCAACAGGTCAGGTTACAGCCCAGCACTCCAAGCTTAAGGGATGAAACCCAGCCCTTCTGTGGACAGCGGCTGCTACATCCTGGCTCTGAAGGAAACCCCCTTCCATCTGGAGTAACAGGAGGAAGGCTCATGTTCACAAGAGTCACTTGTCTGCCTGGAGCTCATAGGAGAAATCAGAGTCCACTGAGAGATCAGCAGGAAGACCCCCAGAGGTCCAGCAGGAATATGCACTGATCAGAAGTGGCTGTCGGTTTCTGCTGGCACGCTGCTCATCCAATTACCATGACTTTATTTGCCCTACCTACCATTACCTGCTCTCATTGAAACAGTAAATGTAAGAACTGATGCTTCACATTTTCCCACCAAACATTAACGTTCTATGACCTTAGTTCACTCGTGGTCGACTTTTTGTGATGCCATAGACTGCAATCCACCAGGTTCCTCCGTCCATGAGATTTTCCAGGCAAGAATACTGGAGTAGGTAGCGATTTCCTTCTCCAGGGGACCTTCCCTACTGAGGTATCAAACCCACGTCTCCTGTTTTATCATGCTGAAAAAATGTCTTCTTTCAAATAACAGCAATCCATCATAACAAAAACAAAATTTTCTCACTACTTTCCAAGCTGTTCTCACCTGTGAACATTAGTTTGCCTCTTTCCTTAACTATTATGTCACACAGTGTATTGATTAAGAAGTCTGGCTTTATAGTCTCTACAATAGAGAGGACAGTAATTCTAACTCCATAGATTTTTTAGGACGATTAAATAACACAAAACCATGTCAAGTTTCTAGAAAACAGTTTGGTGTATTGTATTGATATGTGTTCCACAAATTCTGGCCATCATTAATTGTTGTTATTTACCCTTTCCCCAAGAGTGCCGCAAAGGACTGATGACTGGGTTTCGGAAGGAGATACTCACGCTGACCATTTGGCGAGTAATAAGATGCCGTTTTCTCAGCATCACCAAAGTCATAGTCGACAGGAATGGCTGGGCCGTTGTCAGTCCAGCACTTCCCTGCTCCATACTTCACTGGGTATTTCTGCAGGGACCAAAATACAGACTGAGGAGAGTAGAGACACTGCTGTACTGGGAAGTAGAGGATTTAATGCCCTTGGGTGGCATTATTCAGACAGCAGTCCAAATGACAGCGATTCTTTGCCACCCCTACTCATAGCTCAGAACCTAACCAGCCTCAAGACCCTTGTTTTTCTCCTTCTTTAACCACCCTCCTCTCTCCCCTAGCCTCTTGTACCTCCTGGCTCAGAGCTCCTCTGAGAGAGCCAGCGCACCAGTTCACAGGGACCCAGAGGTAGGAGAAAGCCGAGCAGAGGCACCTTCTAGTGCAATGAACAGAGCAGACTTACTCCTCATCCAAAACATTGACTCTCTGTTCACCAAAGGAAGTGCCCCCAACCCCAACCAGCAGCCCCATGTACCTGGTAGAGTCCAAACAGATTCTGTCCCAGTCTCCGGAAGAAGCCAGTGTCGGTGTGGTACCTCAGCAGGGAGCTGTTCCTCCAGTGCTGCAGGGGGGACCTGTTGGGCACGTGCCAGATGCCCAGGTCCTGGGCCTGGATGTCGTAGTAGCCAGGGTTCTGCAGAGGGACACACACTCAGCCTTACTGACCCAGGAGGTGCCACCAGCCAAAGACCCACACACACAGCCCTCCCTTGAGCTGAGAGCTCAGGGCTCCAGGGAACAGGTCTCCAGCAGTGCTCAGACCTCTACCTCTCTCCAGCAGACGATGAGGCCCCACCACACAAACAGCCTTGGCGGGAAGAAGCTATGACTCAAGACATGGACTTCTGTCCTTCTCCAGCCCCACCTCCACATCCCCATCTCCCACCCTTTCTTCCACATGCTCTGCTCCAGCCACACCCCACTCCCCACCCTTTCCACCCAGAAGCTCAGTGCCACCCACCTTGTAGTCATCACTGGTGGCCGCCTCTGCAGACCCAAACGTGTTGTAATTGGCCCAGTTGCCATCCCCCTCTGGGTAGTCAGCCCTGTTGCCCTGCTGACTGGACCAGCGATCGCCCACCGTGCATTTCCCACGCATGTTGTTCTCATGCACACTGGCCACCAGGGTCCAACCGCCACCCCCAGAGGTCATGTCACAGAAGGTCTGGTAGATGACACCATTCTCAGTGCGGAGGTGATACAGGCCATCTGCAGAGGGAACCAGTCAGAAACCCCCTGTCTTAGAGCAGGGAGTCCCTGTCAGGCCCCAATACCAGAAAGAATTTGAGAAGTCAGAAATGCATCCTGAAGGTTCCTACACACAGCCATTTCTTGAGGACAATTCTCCATAGGTCATCTAAGAACAGAAACACTGACTGCCTTTGTTCCATGCTACCTTTTCAAAGATTTATAGAGCAAACATCCAAGGATACAGAGATGGTATCTCCCTCTGGACAGAGCCTCCTTCTGACCACTTGAGGCCTGATAACAGCACCCGACCACATCTCAAGTCCACACCAGGATGTGGCCTCTGCAACTCAGAGCTAAGGGCAGGCGTGGTCACTGCCCATTTTATGAGATTCAGATTCCCTAAGTGCAGAGTTCCTCCTCATTATCAGCCCAAAAGAAAATAAACTGTAATATCAGAAAAGACTTGTACTTGCTTGATGAACCAAATTTATGAGCTGCTCAGAGGGTAAAGAGTCTACCTGCAGTGCGGGAGATGGAGTTCGATCCCGGGGTTGGGAACATCCCCTGGAGAAGGAAATGGCAACCCACTCCAGTATCCTTGCCTGAAAAATCCCACGGACAGAGGAGCCTGGCAGGCTACAGTCCATGTGGTCACAAAGAGTTGGACACGACTGAGCAACTTCACTTTCACTGTTCACTTTTGTCAAACAAACTACATGTGCAGATATCTCCTGGACCTCTTCACATCACGGTGATGGGACGGGACCAGAGAAACAGCACAGGAAAAAGCTATGCTCTGGCTACTTCCGTGATAGTGAGTAATAAAGTTCTATGTCTCTGACTCTAGAGGCTCATGTTTTCTACTACTTAGCTTACTTACAAGAAGGATAGAATTTTACAATCATCAGAGCTCTGTTGGCCAAGCTAAGAGTCACCAGGAACACGACATTCTCCCTGTGTTCAGAAGATCATGTTTCCTACAACTAGATGGGACCCAAAAGCCTCAAAATTCCCCCTGGAAGTCTCCGAGGCTGCAAGCTGGAGTCAGAGCAGACAGGAGTGGTAGGCACACCCCTCTTGATCTCCATGACCAGGATATGTAGCGAAAAAGGGGCCAAAAGGAGAGGATGCTGAGTTGGTTTATTACTCACCACCTGCGCTGTGGCAACTTTCTTTGATTTCCTTGCAGCTTCTGGGCAGGAAAGACAGGAAAGGGGCACAGGTTTTGTCCCCCCAGAACTTCCCAACAGAAGGGGTCACTGTAGAGGATGTGAGGATAATTCTCATCAATAGTGTCATACGGCTCACTCCAGCCTTCCTGGTCATTGACTCCCAGCTCCTTTCCCCTTCACAAGTTCATCACTGGGCTTTGCAGCCCCAGAGGTCAGTGTCTTCTCTGCTAAGACTAGCTGAGCCACCATCTAGTACAGACTTGACTTAACTTGCATTCTTCTCCACACCTAATTAAACTTGAAAATTCTCTTTATGCCTATTGTGATAAATGGAACTGTGAGGATGAGGATTAGGGAAGAATGTTCGCTGGACACAGCCCTGACCACCAAGCACCCTCTGGAAACCCTAAAACCAAGCCCATAGGAGCAGAAGCAGCTAGAAGAAGACAGTCTTCATCACTATGACTTCCCTGAGCCCCCCTCAGCCACACAGAGGCACAAACTGGGGCCTCAGGACAGGCCTTAGCTTCAGACCACACATCCAGAGAGACCAGCAATCAACACTCAGGCCACAGTTCAATTTGGCTGTAAAGTGTGGCTTCTCTGCATCTCCATGAATCCCGCTCTGGGCCAGAACTTCAGCATCCAGCCTGGTTCTACTCCCTCTGCTCCTCGGCACACCTGAGCGGATGAAACGGCTGCTCCTGAGAGACTTGCCTGCACTCTGGCCTCTGGCGGCCACGGGGAGGAACAGCAGGAGGTAAAGCCTGACTCCTGTCCCCTGAGTAGAAGGGAGATGCACACGGTCACTGGCCGGTTCATCCTTTCTCTCCCTTCCATCCTTTCTCTTCGAACTCTCTGAGTAAGGAAAACCCCAAATGGAAAATGATGGGATTCTGGGCACTCTGGAACCTCCTGGAATAGAGCCCACCCCATCCAACCCTACAAATCTTTAAGGGACCACAGTCTCCTTTCTCTGACACTCCCCCTCCCTAAGACCAGACCTGCGCTGGCATCGCGGCCCCCCCACACACTCGGATCTTCTCTCAGACTCAGCTTCCTCACAGCACAGAGAGCTGAGCCTTCCTTCCTCGCAGATGCCAGGAGCGGAGAGCGCCCAGCCAGGAGGAGTCTCAGAGCTGCTGCCTCTGCAGGGCGGTCTGAGGTAGGCAAAGTGCTGAACCTTTTGGGGAGAGCAAACCATATGGGCCCTTCCCATCCCAGCCTACTTTGGGCTGCAGGCTCCACCCTTGAGCATTCTTCCTCTGAAGTTGCCTGAGCCTCGGCCCCCAGCAATGAGAAGCATTGTGTAACCGGCTGGAGGGGCAGGAGGCAGCGCTCGTGGGCACACAGGTGACACTCGCCATGAGGAGGGTGAGCCCTGCTGGGTCAGAGCACACACAGTGCTCCTTCCGTAACAGACTCTCAGGATGGACGGGACCTCACGGTTCTTCCCTGCAGCCTGTCCTGCTCCCAGCCCAGTCAGATGCTCCAGGGCCTCACACACCTGTCAGGTCGCCATCCTTCCAGTCTCTCCTGAAACCTCTCCATGAAGCCTGCCCTGAATCCCCTACCCCCAGTCATAGCTGACGGATACTCCCCTGGCCTATTATGGACGTTGTCACCCTAATCATGACATGTGCCACACTGTTATGTCATTCTGTTTTAATTTGGAGGCTAAAATAATTGAAAATTTACAGAATATTGCAAAAATAAGAATAGTGCAAAGACACATATAGCTTCTACCTGGATTCACTGATAGTTTGTGTTCTACCCAATTTGCTTTATTATGTATGCCTTCTCTCTATATGCGTACAAAAACTCACGCAGCCTTTCTTTCTTTAACATATTGAGAATAAGTTACATATATGAAGGCCTTTTCCCTAGATAAGTATGTCCTTTCCCAATACAGATATTCTCATATTAGCCACAGTGCAATTATCAACTTCTATCATTAATTCTTTTTAATATAACTGGTACTTTGCTAGAGTCCACTAGCCTGGGAGTTCTACTCAGCTCAGCTAGGATTCATCAGACTGAATTTTCTCTGGCTTTCACTGGCTCCCATTATTAGGAGATTTCTGGTCCACACTGAAGCCCAAAATCCCCAAGGGATATTCTTGTTGTTATTCAGTCACTCAGTGATGTCCAACTCTTTGCTAGCCCATGAACTGCAGCAAGCCAGGCTTCCCTATCCCTCAGTATCTCCCAGAATTTGCTCAAACTCATCTCTATTGAATCAGAGATGCCATCCAACCATCTCATCCTCCATCATCCCCTTTTCCTTCTGCCTTCAACCTTCCCCAGCATCAGGGTCTTTTCCAATGAGCCACCTCTTTGCATCAGGTGGCCAAACCATTGGAGCTTCAGCTTCAGCTTCAGCATCAGTCTTTCCAATTGACTGGTTTGACCTCCTTGCAATCCAAGGGACTCTCAAGAGCCTTCTCCAGCACCACAGTTCAAAAGCACTAATCCTTCAGTGATCAGCCTTCTTTATTGGTCCAACTCTCACATCTGTACATGACTACTGGAAAAACCATAGCTTTGACTATATGGACATTTGACAATATTTGACTATATGGACTACAGGGTCAAAAAAGTGATATCTCTGCTTTTTAATACTGTGTCTAGGTTCATTACAGCATACAATGAGGTTTCACCATTCCACATCCATGTCAGCCTAACTGCTTTCAGCTCTGTCCACTGCCCAGGCTCTGGCTGGCCACTGATACCTCATTTCTGTCACCTCTGCTGCTGGGGCTGCTTTCGGGGTCAGATGCTGATGCTCAGGGCACTGCTTCCTCTCACTCCTGGGCCTCCAGCCCTACATCTCTTTGATGTCCAAGGTGCAGGAGCCATCCAGCTTGTTCAGTGCGGAGGAAGGCAAATGCCTTACAACCATACAAAACAGTATCTAGTTCAAGGCCTGGAATGTTATTAACAACTTACACTTACTCTACCACATCACAACCATCTGAATTTTTTTTTCACAGAGGACAGGGTTGGAGGGAGAGATGGAGAGAGGACTGACCTATCGCCCATACATCTCTGCTGTTTGCTACAGCCATAGGGAAATGACCACTAACACCACTTAATCAGGGGATTTCTCAGGTCGCCATTTGGGTTGTTCACTGTGATTAATTCCCTCTCTTTGGAGCACAGGAAAGGCTGCCCCTCTCCTCTGTGAAGTTAAATGGGCCATGGGACCTGTTCTAGCCAAGTGAGGTGAGCAGGAAGGGTCAGTTTTAGGCTGAAGCCCTCACCAGTCAGGGCACAAGTCCACACCGTCCTTTTTCCAGCCTCAGGAAACAAGGCAAATTGGGAGCCCTGGCTTGGTGGTACGTTTATGTCTGATGAGGAAACTAATCTTCGAGGTTGGAAGGATGGCGTTCTGTGTTCTGTTTTAGGGGAAATGTTAAATGTGTTGCCTGTGGTATCTCAGGATGTGTGAGATGTACAGACTGCACTGGGGCGTTAAACGAAGGCCTCAGGGAAACAATGTCAGCACTGCGAGTCGGCTGTCTTGGTTCTGTATTACAAAGGAGAAGGTCTGGGAGAAAAACTGGTCTGTTTTGCAAGGAGAAATGAAAGGAATAACAGATTCTGGGGCTTCAGCAGGCAAACAGTGTGGAAAGTTTTCTTCACAAATCATCTTCAACAAGGGCACACACACATGCACACACATAATAGCTCCCAAAATACTTTTCCATATACACCTCAGTAAAGAGCAAGTGTTTTACTGTTTGGTGCCCCACGTACAGGGCGCCCCTGGGGGCTCAGACCGTACAGAATCTGTCTGCCATGTGGGAGGCCTGGGTTCGATCCCTGAGTTGGGAAGATCCCCTGGAGGAGGATATGGCAACCCACTCCAGTATTCTTGCCTGGAGAATCCCCATGGACAGAGAAGCCTGTGACACTTACAGTTCACGGTGTCACAAAGATTCAGACAGGACTGAGTGACTAAGCACAGCATATTCCATGTAAAATAAACTGGCTAGTTACCCAGACCAAACCTAGCAGCTGAGAAATATTGTTGCTACATGATATCAAACTTCTAAAATCTGACTAGTAAAATTTGGGGGAATAAAGCAATACATTTGGATTGAGTCACCTTCCAGATGTTCATTCTTTGGCCATCAACTAAAGGCATCCTCTGCTGAATACTGTTTCTAACATGGAACAATTGAGAATATGTGGCCAAAGGCATATTCAGTGACCTCTACCAAAAGGATATGTACCTACTAGATGACACCATAAAAAGTCCGAAAACCTCGGTCAGGGAAGGAGGGGTTGTGTCTGTAGTACAGGTTTGGCATGTGCTGACATTCAGAAATAAAGTGTGCCTAATATCCAAAATCCTAATATTTGGGGTATAATAACATGTATTACTGTCTTTTAAAAAACTATGAATTCTGAATTTATGTAACAGTATATATCTTGAGGATCACTTTGCATTAAATTTTCAAATTGAATAATTCTACACTCCTTTAAAAAAAAGTCACCATATCCATTCTCACTTAAAAGCCCATCCTGATTTTATCCAAGTAAGTACACTAGCATTTCAACCTTACAGAATATCACAATGTACTGGGATACTGAAAGCTTGTTTTATAAAGAAGGCTGAGAGCCAAAGAATTGATGCTTTTGAATTGTGGTGCTAGAGAAGACTCTTGAGAGTCCCTTGGACAGCAAGGAGATCACCAGTCAATCCTGAAGGAAATCAACCTTGAATGTTCATTGGAAGGACTGATGCTGAAGGTGCAGGTCCAATACTCTGGCCACTTGGTGGGAACAGTGGACTCATTGGAAAAGACCCTGATGCTGGGAAAGATTAAAGGCAGAAGAAGAAGAGGGCAGCAGAGGATGAGATGGTTGGATGGCATCACCAACCCAATGGACATGAGTTTGAACAAACTCTGGGAGATAGTGAGGGACAGGGAAGCATGGCTTGCTGCTGTCCTTGGGGTTGCAGAGTCAGACTCGACTTAGTGACTGAACACCAGCAACAATGGGGTACTGAAAGCTTGTTTTGTAGTCACAGCACGGTGGCAGACCCAGGTTAGACCTACGTGTAGTCTGTTATTGCAATTGCTAAATATTCTTACTCCCAGACACCTCAGTCTTTTTCTTTTGTAATTAATCTGGTTCTATTGA